TTATAGAGATACGTAGTTACCACGTCCATAAGCTACATATTATGTTTTTCGGAAACTACCAAACTGATAAGGTAGCGGAACATTATAACATCTATTATAGGGGAATACGTTTCCTCGTAATCAATTCCAGAGCACTGAGAGAAGCCTTGCAGCTACAAGACGTGCTTTGTACCGTACTAGTTCATTCTTCTTATTATGCTTCCTCACGAAAACCTACTTGTAGCCAACAGGCTTCATGCGTGGTGGTGGCGTAAGAACAATAGGTCTAAACACTTTACATTTCACGAGCGAATTAAGTTTGACCTGGATTGCTTGTTTCCAGTTTGACCAATGTGTTCTATGTTGGCATTCATCAACAGAATGTGGTTCAATGTCATTGCTAAGATTATGTCAGTAGCTAATGTGTACGTAAATGCATCATTGATGATTATCTCATTCCGATTCCAAACCTCATCCAATACTGCGTAGTGGATCAAAATCTCACGGTTCTCGGGAAACCAGGTTGTCTCATCTAAGACATTGTTGTAATCTAGAATAACCTCATGCGTTGGAACGGATAAGTTAGCCATGATGATTGGCTAGCCGCCAATGTATCGGGCCACGTGGAAGGTGCAGCCTCCCTACCTTTGGGGACGATCCAACCTTCCCAAGCGGGTTGTTGACGTAAGCAAGGTACATCTATCCTTACAGGTGTGCTTATAGCAGGTATATGTGATCTTGTCACCTTAGCTAAATTATTAAAAGCATATGGCATGCTTTGAAGATCTATAATTCGTCGCACCTCAGTTTCAGGCTGAGCAGTGCGGGGATCTAAATGAGACATAGTGCAAGCATGCCAAGGCAATTCACAGCATTCTCCAGGAACGTTAGCATGCTCATCTCCTCCTAACGACGGGAAGACTGTCTCATCAAAGTGACAGTCCGCAAAACGTGCGGTAAAGAGATATCCTGTCAAGGGTTCTAAATATCGAACAATTGATGGCGAATCATAACCAACATAGATTCCCATTTTTCTCTGAGGACCCATTTTGGTACGTAGTGGTGGTGCTCATGGCACATAAGTGGCGCACCTAAACACCTGTAAATACGAGATGTCAGGCTCGTATCCAGTAACCAACTGTAACTGGTGAATGTGGTTGGGTAGCTGATGGGCCTCAGGTGGACCAACATAGCTGCGTGCAATATTACGTAGCCCTAGGCAGATACTGACAGTTTGGTTCTCATAACCAAAGTTCAAGATATCAATTGAAGGCTCTTTATCAAAGCTTCTGGTATGCCGTTTTGGGTGTGAATATAGGGTACAAGATGTTCCACATCAATCCCTACTGACATGCAATAATTGTCAAAAGTATATGACGTAAACTCTTCAATGTTATCCAATTGAATTAACTTGATCAGATAACTAGGGTGGTGAACCCTTAGCTTAATAATTTGTGCTAGGAGTTTAGCAAATGCAGTGTTGCTTGTGGATAACAGGAAAACATGTGACCATCATGTCGATGCATCAACCAACACCATATAGTATCTAAATGGTCCGCATGTTGGTTGGCTAGGTTCACAAATGTCCCCTTGAATCCTCTAAAGAAACTTAGGAGGGGCTGTGAATGATCTTTGTAATTGACGGTTGAGTATTGAACTTCCCTAAAAAACATGCTTTGCATGGCGGGAATCCAACATAAGAAGGTAACTGATGCCCATGTGATGATTTGAGGATACGGCATATCATGTCACATTAAGAATGTCCTAAACGATCATGCCAAATCAACAAAGTGTTCTAGAACTCAGGCATAGGGTCAGCCACATGATGGGCTTCTATGCCTCGAATGGTTGTGACGTACAACCCACTTGGGAGACGTTCCAACTTCTCGTGAATACGTTTCTGGCCATATTCGTACGAAGTAATACAAAGAAACTTAGAACCATTATCTTCAATGGTTTCAATATGATATTGATTATCTCGAATATCTCTAAAACTCAGCAACGTTCTTCCAGAACGTGGAGAACAGAGTGCTTCCTTATTAGTTAAGATTGTACCATTGGACAACATGATAGGGCTTTTCCGTATCCTTCAATCAAGTTGGATGGGCTTGAGAGAGTTGTCAGAGGAGCTTTCTTGGGTATTAAGTTAGTAAAATAGTGTCGGTCACGCAAGATGGTGTGTGTGGTAGCACTATCAGCCATACATTAACTTCCCTACTAGACTTACCTATAAATAAATTGATTGAATTGGTCACATGCATAAATATAATTCCATTCATTCAATTAAGCAATTCGAGAAATAATATGCATCAAATAACAATCCATAATTCAAAACAAAACAAAACCAAACAAATTATTCCAAAGACTTAGGAAAAATGTTCAAAATTAAACCATAAACCTAAAAAAGTAGGGGAGAGGGGCCGACCACTCCTAGTGGGTTCGGCCACTAGGGGTAAACACCCTAAAATTTATTCATCCATAGGAGATGATGCCTCTTGAAAATCCGATATCTCCATTGATGTGGTAGCATCTTCTGGATGTTCCACATGTGCAAACTTAGACTCACGATGAGAATGATAGTTGGCAATAGCCTCAAGGGTAGCTTGGCATACGTGTGACCAATGATCCTTTGATCCACAGCGATATCACATGTCCATTTTAGTGGAAGTTGATTGAACGGGAGCTTTTCCTTTGTTCTTGAAGCTTGGGGCCTTAGAGGTAAGGGGAGGACGCTGCTAGGTCATATTTCCTCCCTTAGGGCTGGCACTTTGTTGACCTTGGGTCCGTGGTTGGGCTTGCCGCCCATTTACATGGCCACGACGATTCTTTCATCGTTTGTGGCTGCTAGAAGGACAATATTGGTGGCATGGAAGGTGGAATAGGTATTCTCCATGAGATCTGATTCGGTTAGTTTGACTTTACAGAATTTCAACAGCAATCAGATTCAACAAACTTTAGAGTTGTATTCATTCACGGATTTAAAGTCTTGGAAGCGAAGATGCTGCCAGTCGTGTCTTGCTTCAGGCAAGTAGATGTCTTTTTGGTGATCAAAACAATCAACCAGAGCAAGCCAGAGGGTGCGTGGGTCCTCCTCAACAAAGTACTCGGTCTACAGTGCATCATGGATGTGTCTTCGAATGAAGATCATTGCATTAGCTTTTTGAGCTTCGTCGACAGGTTTGTCGTAGGTAGATGAATTGATGGTGGCTCTAATACCCTTTGTAGTAAGATGGAGTTTCACGTCTTGAACCCACTTCAGGCAGTTTCTTCCAAATACTTCCAAAACGGTGAAATTGACCTTGTTCAAGTTCGACATGTCCCTAAAGTAGAGGGTACAAAAAAAACATAATTAGTCATATGGTAATCCATAGACATATATCGTAGAACATTTGGGGTTCTATAGACATGCATTGGTTTAATTTATGCATGAAAACAACAAGTTTCATGTGGTATGTTTTGAATGAAAGCTTCAGGTTTCAAGGGCACTAAATATGAAACTACAAGTTCAATTTAGTTTTATGAACGATTAGTTCATAAAGGAGAGGTTCCTGCAAGAAACACATAATGCAATATGCTGATTAAGTGTCGTGGATTTGAGTTTCTTCGAGAACTCAAGTGTGAGAGCTTCGTTACTACGAAAGTATGTCAACGGTTAAAGTATAAAAATAAATTATTGAATCATTAATGTCCAAAAGTGATCTTTAAGTCAACAATTTTGGATTCATTATCAGATTAATGGACTGCGCTTCATCGAGACTAAACAAGGTCGATTGTGGAAGCAAAAATAATAATAACATTCGGGTTAAAATTATTTAAAATGCTAAATAATAGCATTGGGTTGAAAAAATATATAGCCCAAAAAAGGTTTGGGCTCGGGTTGGCTGCAAAAAAGTAGCCCACAGGTGGCTGCAGGCCACGAGCCAAGGGAATTAGGTAAGCTTAGCAGCCAACGCTGCTGGTATTGGGCCAAAGGGGCGCACAGGGACAAGCCCAGCCGAAGCTGGCTTGTGGGTTATCACACATAAGGCCCAGCTGAAGTTGGAGCCTGGTCATTGGGCCGAGGGGAAGAAAACCCAGTCTACTGGGCTGGTTGTTTGGTTGCGGGTCGAGGCAAGATTAAAGCCCAGCAAACACAAAGGCTAGCTAGCAAGTCGGGCCAAGCTGCTGGTGGGCTCGGGGCTTCAGGCCCGTCGAAACTGATCCTAGGCCGAAGCATGGTTGTCACGTGCAAGAGCAAGAAGACCAAAGTGTTGCTGTGGTGGTCCATGTAGCTGGGCTTCAGGCTAGCGATGGTGCATGATCTTGCCGACGGTGGTGGTGTCGCACCATGCCAAATTTTCTTTCCCTTTGTTTTTTTTTTTATTTGAAATCCCTAGGGTTTGAAAAACTCTAAATTGCTTCTAATTTATTTATATGCTTTGACTCACAAATTTCACTTAGCAATTTAATTGCGTAATGCATGAAACAAACATATATATATATATTGACAAATATATGAAACATATACAATTTATATATCGTAAGGAAAATTTAAACATATAGGGGTTCATGCATCATGGGGAATGTTTTCATGCTTCGACGTTTCAAATATCTTCCTTTATTTCAAGCATACCTGATTGGCAGAAAACAAAGAAGAACCTTTGAATTTTGTGGAAGATAGCCTCCTACTACGATCCGTCAATTCCTCAGCTTCTGGCAAGAGCGTGCTGATAGCGTATTGTAGGCCTATTTAATTGAACTAATCTAAGGGATTAGAGAGAGGGGGCCGACAATATTGAGAGAGAAGAGATAGTGATTTAATTGTGAAGTGTGTGTGTATCACTCCATTGTACCTTTATTTATAGGAGTAGGATAGGCAAATACCTTACCCTTTTAGGATTACAACTCTTAATAGGTAATCAACTCCTAATAGGAATATAAGACACATTCCTATATCTACTAGGATTTGCACAATCACATTCCTATTCTAAATATGATTGCAACACAAACTTATTTATTTATTTTTTTTGTATTTTAGAAATGTTTTAAGTTGAAAATTAATTAGGAGATTGATGAAGGTGTGAGGATTAAAATTCTAAATCAAGTACTAATTTTTATTTTTAATTTTTTTTAAAGTTATGTAATTGAGATGAACTAAATTCATTAACACCTCAATATTAGGAACTTGCAAAACCTGAAAACCAATAAGGTCTTGAAAAAAAATGAACATTAGTAGTTAGAGACCGAATAATAATTTTTCCTAGAATAAAATACAAAGCATTAAGCTTGGGCTCGAAAGCCTAAACTGGTTTTAACCAAACCGCATAACAATGGTTTGTTTGGGTTGTCTTCACCTGTATTCTAGTTAAATCAAAACGATTCAACCGGACTGTATCGCCCCTACTTATACTAAGAGAAATCACATTCAGTCCCCCTACTTATACTAGAGAAATCACATGTCATTATTAGTGGTATTTTTACTGTATAGGGCATAAAATAAAGCTTGAAGTAATGCGGTGCATCAACTTTAAGGAATCTATCATTGTATTATATTCACTGGGATCAATTCAAAAGAATATATGCTTGTTTACTTTATCATCCATAATATACGTACTTCGTTTCTTCAAGTTTCACAAAGGCGTTAGCTTGAGTACTGTTGAGGGCAAACTTAAGTGTCCCAACGCAACTGTTTGTGAGCCATCTCTATCTCTGTAATCTCTAGTTATTGTCTTCTGTTTCTGCATTAACACATATGCTTTATTTTTATTTTATTTTTTGGTCCAACAATATATATGCTTTATATATGAACATGGATTTCATATTTTTTTGTAGCTTAATAGCTGTTTAGTTACATAAGCTCGTGAGATATATAAGCTTGTAATAAATGCACGCAAATGTTTAGAGATTTACGTCCTGCTTAATTGGAAAGAATTTTCTTTGTCTAGGGTTTTGAAGATTGGTCCCCCAGCTAGGTAATATCTTTTATTATTTACAGCTGAGCATATATATTGCAATCATGTATGATGAATTAAGTAAAATCATGACTTAAGTAGATGGTCATTTTGAATAATGATATGCAGCTAGGTATCAATCTTACGTACTTGATAAGATGGGAGGTGGAAAGGACGAGAAGCATGAGACAACTGAGAAAGCACTATTTTCATATGGTGGTGTGTATGGATATGGATATCCCCCGCAAGCACATCATGCATACCCTTCTTCTGGCGGGTATCCTCCACCTGCCTATCCTTCTTACGTGGGACATCCACCAACCTCCTATCCACCAACTGGTTATCCAGGTAAATCAGCCTCTTATCATTCTGCTTGCAATCGAATCACATCACAATCGTCCCTAATCTATTTTGTAACTTTACCAGTTTCTGGTTTATAATTATTCTGAATTGTATGCTTAGGTACTACAAAATTATAGGCCAATAATATTCATGGGTAATTAATCGAAAGACTAAATTATAATTTTATTGAAGGATGGCAATCCCATTCTTTTTCCCTTCTTTTCAATGGAAGAGACAAAGAAGAGCAATAACGGAAATGTTAAGGAGAATAAATTTATAAGTTAGCATGATAATAATTAGTCACCAAATGATGAAACAGAAGAAAATACATAGATATATATAAAATTTTAAAAATGAAACTGTTACTGGCATTTCAAAAATCTCATTGTATACTTCACAAAAATATTTTTTTTCTCGAAATATCATTAAACCTGGAGTGCACAATAAAAATTTTGGAGTGTAAGCCAATAACAATTTCCTTTTGAAAATATATTTTCTCATTTCGCATTGACATTATCAAGTGATGTTCTTAATTTTATTCCAGCTACTGATCATCACATATGAAGAACCAATTAAAATGACATTAAAGTAGATTATTATTTTTGTTTTCTTGATGACTGATGAATGATTATTACGTACAGTGCATGGAGTGCTGGCATGGGAATGGGAGGGATGTTAGCTGGGGGTGCTGTCGCAGCTGTTCCTGCGTATGGGGCCGACCATCTTGTGTATGAAGGTGGGGGCAACCATGACTATGGCGCTTACCATGGAAATGGTGGTTGCCGTGGCTATGGGGGTGCCCCCGGCTATATTGGCAAGCCCTTTGGGAGCTAGTTCAACAAATGGAAGTAAAACATATGATATGGTGGATCTGCCAATCTAAGGAAAATATATGGTCCCTGCATCAAGATCCAAAACTAGTGTAAGATAATCTACTTACGCCCTTTCTAATAATTACTCTAAAAGTAAATACAGACTCATTTGTATTTTATATTGTATTTCTATACATAAAAATAAATGAAGACGTATTTGTATATTGTATTTTTCTCTCTTCCAAGAGCCCCTATCTTAATATTTGCGACTTTAAATCTCGTTTTCCTATGATTAGGGCTAGCCATTTTAGCTAATGAAACCAAATTAACCGGTCTGGTCAGTTCGAACTAGTGCATTCTTTTGCCAAAAAAAAAAATAAAATAAAATCTTTATGTTGTGGCGAAAAATATTGAATGAATTTAACTTAGACAAGGATATTTGAAAATCAACGGTGACATAGCTAACTAACTTTAACCTCTCCCCACAAGTTAAAATTTCGAGCTAGACTTGCTTCACATATTAACTATGTTGATTTGATCCCACACGCCCTCTTTGTGTGTCGCTCTTCCCTTGAAATAGTGAATCAATTATTTTAACCCTTGCAGTCAATTTAATTAGACTGTCTTTGGAGGCATAACGAAAATATGCCTCCCCAAACTTAATTCATTAGGTATCGGTCAATGAGGTAGGCACATGGTAGTTAGGCCCTTATAATTAGTTCACCAATTTACTCCTCAACCCTTAAGAGTCAAGCATCTCCATGTTTTTCTACAAATTATTTCCTTCCCCAAACTTAAAGTAAAATAAAAAGTATTGAGCAATTATCTGGATTTTGGAATAACGTTGTTCATTGGTTGGGGTAATTACAAAAAGTAAACCCGTCCGAGTACTCCCCACCATCTTCTTCCTTCTCCATCATATGTCATCCCTCGTCTTCCATGATGGCAATTATCCATCCATTCTTTAAATAGATGCTTTATTTCACTTGAAAATTAAAGCTTTATTTCAAAGACATGGAATCTATCTTGGATTTCTCCACCTTGGTTTAATTCTGAAGTTATGCAATGATCTACCCATTCTTTTAAGTAGGAGCAACACCAGCCATCAACAAGATTCTTGATGAGATCGAGATTGTCGGATCTCACGAGCAAGAATTGCGAAGTCACATTGCGTAGACGCTTCTCGGCTTCCGCTCTATTTGGATACATGGTTCTCCAATGCTGACGATGATGTTTGCTAATTTTAGAATTAGGGAAAAGAAAATGCCAAAAATCAAAATGGGAAAATTGAAGAAAACAATGTTTCTTCATCATACCATCATCCCCGATTCGAGCGGTCCGCGGATGAGGAGCTGCAACTACTGGAGGATTATGGGATCAGAAAACGAAGATTTCTTCATGAAGCAGTCACACTTGTTTGGATTTGAGCGAAGCTCGGCATCAGAGTATGCTGCAACTATACCCCAGATCAGACACTACATTGCAGTTTCTGCTGTAGTGTTGTAAATTCAGACTCTGCATTGTAGTTTCTGTTTTTTTATAGTCAAATTATTCACATTTAATATTAGATTTAATTAAATCTTATATAAAGCAGTCAAACTCACTCATACTAAAGCCCCAATACTCGATATGACTAATTGGACTTCAATAAAATAGAAATTGTATCGCAGAGTCTGAATTCACAAAATTGTAAAACAAGAACTGCAATGAAGTGTTTAATGTCAGGTTGACCTACTCCTAAATATAAAAAATATAAGAAGAGGGCTGCGAACTGTAATGCCCGCTGTGATGTAATGGTATAATTGGTAATTTTGTTTGATTTAAGTGCAACAATATACATTAAAGTCTTATTGACATGCTTATAATCAACACTAGCATATGGGCAGACACAGAGTGTGTGAGAAAATTTAAAATTTTTGTTTTTGAAATAGAAGGAGAGAGAGAGGAAGAGAGTGATATATAGAGTGTGTGTTTTTTATTTATTTATTTATTTATTTTTTTATTTTATGATTAGAGATATGTTAAGATTACATGTAGGTGAGGTTTAAAAAAAAAAAAAAGCAAAATTTGGTTGTGTGACATATTTCTTATTTATGTTCTGTTTTAAAATGATATTTTCATAGAATTTTGGTTAAAAATGAGTGTTTTATTAATTAGTAGAGATAAATATTATTGACATATGCTCAACATTATAACTTTTTCTTGTTTTTAAAGAAATCACCCTTTTAAAAAATTACGAACTGAGATATACTAAATCATTAACACATTAATATTAGGGACTTGCAAAATCTGAAAACCAATAATGTCTTAGCCAAAAAATATTAGTAGCAAGAGACCAAATACTAAATTTTCCTAAAATAAAATGCTTTGCTTAGGCTCCAAAGCCTAAACTGGTTTAACAAAACAGCATAACAATGGTTTGTTTGGGTGGGCTTCACCTGTAATTTTAATTAAAATCAATCCAATATGTTACACAAAAATTAGTTTAACTATATTTTGAGTGTTAGAACGAATCAAACCGAACTGTATCGCCCCTACTTATACTGGAGAAATCACATGTCATCAAATATTAGTGGTCCTTTACTGAATGGAATAAATAAAAAAAACACACGTTGAAGTAACGCAGTGCTATCATTATATCATATTCATTGGATTGGTATCATATTGACAAGAATATATACTTGTTTACTTTATGATCCCTATATTTACGTACTTCATTTCTTTAAGTTTCACACACACGTTTGTTTGACCAGTGTTGAGGGCAAACTTAAGAGTCCCCACACAGCTGTTTGTGAGCCATCTCTATCTCTCTAATCTCTAGTTCTTGTCTTCTGTTTCTGCATTAATAGATATGCTTTAGTTTAATTTTTTTGGTCCAACAATATGTATGCATGCTTTATGTAGGAACATGGATTTCTTATTATTTGTGGCCTAATAAGCTCGTGACATGTATAAACTGTTTTGAGATTTACGTCCTGCTTAATTGGAAAGAATTATCTTTGTCTAGGGTTCTGAAGATTGATCCCAGCTGGGTAATATATATCTTTTATTATTTAAATCTGATCAGCATAACAATTGTTTGTAATTATGTATGATACGTTACGACAAAACTCTCTAACATGTTATGTTCTTTCAACCATGAACTAAGTGGTGCCTTCCATTTGGATCAATCTTACCTACTTGATAAGATGGGAGGTGGAAAGCACGAGAAACATGAGACAACTGAGAAAGCACTATTTTCATACCCTGCAAGTGGGTATGGATCATACCCTCCACAAGGGTACGGATCATACCCTCCACAAGTATATGGATCATACCCTCCACAAGGATATGGATATCCCCCGCAAGCACATCATGCATACCCTTCTTCTGGCGGGTATCCTCCTGCTGCCTATCCTTCTTATTGGGGATATCCACCAACTGGTTATCCAGGACCAGGTACAGCAGCATCTTATCATTCTGCGTGCGATCGAATCACAACCCGATCGTCCCTAATCTATTTTATAACTTTACCAGTTTTCTGGTTTATAATTATTCTGATTTATATACTTGGGTTCTACAAAATTATAGGGCAATAATATTCATGGATATATTAATCAAGACTAAATTCAAAATTTTATTGAACGATGACAATCTGATTTTTTTTTACCCTTCTTTTCAATGGAAGAGATAGAGAAGAGAACTATATAAAGGAAAATGCTAAGAAGACCATATTTTTGTAAGTTAGCATGACAATCAATTAGACACGAAATGATGAAATAGAAGAAACTATATAATTGTTATTGGTACTCCAATCACATTTTACACTTCTCAAATGTATGTTTTTCTTTCTAAATATCATTAAGTTTGGAATGCATAATAAGAATTTTAGAGTGTCGGCCTATAACAGTTCCCTTTTGAAAACATATTTTCTCATTCACATTGACATTTATCAAGTGATGTTCTTAATTTTCTTTCAACTACTGATCACCATATATGAAGAACCAATTAGAATGATACATCAAAGTAGAATATTATTTTTATCTTCTTAGTGACTGACGAAAGATTATTACTTACAGGGTATGGAGCTGCTGGCATTGAAATGGGAGGGATGTTAGCTGGAGGTGCTGTCACAGGTGTTCCTGCGTATGGCTGTGGCGCTTACCATGGCTATGGTGGTTCCCATGGCTATGGGGGTGCCGCCGGCTATGATCATGGCAAATTTCGGCATGGAAGTTTGGCAAACCATTTGAGGGCAAGTTCAACAAACGGTATTAAAACATATAATATGGTGGATCTAAGGCAAATATCATGGTCGCTTCATCAAGATCCAAATCCAGTCTAAAATAATCTACTTACGAGTTACGCCCTTCTAATAGTTACTTTATAAATAAACACGTGTTTGTATTTTGTACTGTATAAATACACAAAAAATAAATAGACGTATTTGTATTTTGTTTTTTTCTCTTTCCAAGAGCCCATGTATTAATGTTTGGGACTTTAATTCTGGTTTTTCCTATGAAAATTTGAGCAGTTCATCATTGACAGCCTCCCCCAGCCTATAAGCAACTCAACAGCTTTAACGAATAATAATTGTCCAAGTGCATCATTATCCCTAAATTGAATAATTAAGGCAATTCGTATTAAAATAAAAAAAATTAATAAAAATGACTTCAAAACTTTAAATTGTAATCAAAAATCATCTTATAACTTTATTTAATGATAAGAATAAAATAATAAAAAATAAAAAATAAATCTATAAAAAGCACGTGCAATGCTTTATTATTATTATTATTATTATTATTATTATTAATAAGGACCCAGCACTGGTTGATGATATATTGGGTAGAAACTAGAAATTAATTCATCAAGCCAACAAAATCTCTAGGTTTCCACAAACCTAGGTGTTGGTAGCTGAAGTGTAGGTCTGTTGGTCGGCGTGAGATTATGCCTATGTCTGGCGTGAGATCTGCAGGCAAAGAAGCAGCTTGAAATTAAGGAAATTGGATCCCATCCGGATCTTTTTGTGGGAATCTTAGGATCTCACATCTTAATCATTCATCGTATATCGTGTGGTCAGAAATCATTTAATTTTTTTCATTTAAAATTAAACACAAATAGTATCTGATGAAAACTAGCTGCACGATGTACTATGAATAACTAGAATATGGGGATCCTACAAAGTGGATTCGAAGAGAATCCTTTTCCCAAATTAAGCACCAGTATCTTTACTTTTCTTGGCTTTAACGTTCAACAAATTTGTAGTTTGATGAATATTTTTGTATTCGATTTTATTGATTTGATTTGAGTTATTTTTCAATTTTGCAGAGGAAGAAAGTGAGATTGTGGGTAGAGGAGAAGAGGAAGCCACCGATGTGCGGATAATGGAAGAGAATTAAGTAATTGGTGTAGAAGGCTAAGAAATTGAAGAGATCCAGAGAAAATTTAATGAGAATCGAAGATAATTAAAAGAATAAAAGGTGTTTGGAATGTGAGAAAATACCGAGAAATTGCAAGAATAGAGGGAGAAGAATGATCGTTAAACTTCCTAGAAAGATAACATATTCAGTTTAAGAAATAGTTAGTGCACACCAACTTGTATTCAGTTTAAAAAAATAGTGTATGTAGTCAGTTTTAGAAATAGTGTCCGTGTTCAGATTTAGAAATAGTGTAGTATCCGTGTTCAGTTGTAAAAATAGTGTAGTACTCGTGTTTAGTTTCAAGAATAATTAGTGTTTATTTTTCAAAAATAGTGTTCAGTTTCAGAAATAGTGTAATACAATTCAGTTTTAGAAATAGTGTAGTACTATTCAATTTCAAAAATAGTGTAGTGCCGTTTAGTTTTAGAAATAGTGTGTGTAATGGATATGCGCGTTCGTGTCAGTTTTTATTACTTTTTATGTTTTATTTTTTACCATATTAAACTTTTGTCATTTTCGTTAAAATTTATGTTTTTTTATTAAATAAAGTTATAAAATAATTTTTTGTTAAAATAAACTTAGTCCAATCCCTTTTCATTAAAACTTAATATTTTTTATTTTATAAAATAATAAAATATAATTTTACCTTTAATTTCTGGTAATAATAAAAGATTGATTGAAAATATTTGAAAATATTGGTGAAAGTTCATGGTTAGGTATTTATTAAAAATAAAAAATTAAAAAAACTTAATATTTTTTATATTTTTAGTATTTTAATTATTATTTGTGTTATTAATTTTTTATGAATTTTTTAATAGTGATTAGGCTTATCGGTTTCTGTTTGGGTGACCAACTGGATGGGACTGAATTGGGCTGAAGGAGTTTTATTTATTTATTTATTTATTTTTTGGGGGCAAAGCCATCTTAGCTCACGAAACCAATCCAAACGTTTTTTTATAAAAAGAAAAAAAATTCATTATTTTTTGTCGAAAAATATTGAATTGTTGTAGGCATAATTTACTGAACAATTATGGAGGCCAGAGAGAGAGGGGTGCGGCATAGATAGAGAGAAAGAAAGAGATGTGTAATTGAGGGTGTCTTCTATTCCACCCATTGTGCCTTTATTTATAGTAGTAGGATAGGTAAAAACCTTTCCCTTTAGGATTACAACTCCTAATAGGTAATCTACTCCTAATAGGAATGTAAGATACACTCCCATATCTACTAGGATTTACACAATCACATTCCTATTCTAAATATGACTGCAACACTCCCCTTTGAGTGTGTAAATACTTAACAAACCATCGCATCAGATTCTTCAACAGATAAGGTAGAATAGTTGATAAAGTCATCGGCACAACAGGTGATCACGAGTCTCAAATTTTCTTTGAAGTATGCATTTGTAAAAACCCACAAAAACCTTGCTATGGTAAAACCCAAGGAATGGGGAAAACCCACAGATTAAGGAGAAAAGTAAGAAAAATATGCATAATGTCTAAAACGCTTGTCAAACTGGACGAAGGTAGTGAACTCAACAGAGTATGATCATCCCAGGATAGGTGCCTCATTAAAACCTAGTTAGGTAGCAAAAACCTAGTGGGAAAAATGCTCCTAATCGCAGGGAAAAAAACTACATTAAGATCATGTGAGTATGCTTCAAGATACTCCCCCTAAGTTAGACATAACTTTTAAATAAGAGAACTACAAGCGATTCAACTCAAATAATTTCTTTGGACGAGCTTCTGAAATGTAGACTTGGGCAATGACTTGGGAACATATTGCATGACTTCAATCTCCTGATGCTTTGCTGAAGTAGATGTAGGTGCAATATGTCTTGGCGTTGACTTCGTTGATGTATCATGGCTTGGTCAGGTTGATACATGCGGCATAATCTTTATGGATTGTCGTTGGGACTCAACGATGGATGAAAACACAACAAGTACTTCGAAATTCTCAACAAGAACTCCTAACCATGTCTCACTTGTGGCGTAGTGAAGTGAGGTGAGTCTTGGAACGATTCAAAGATTTCGCAACTAAGTTCATATCGAGGACCTCCAAGATATTACGATATCCCTAACGGTAAAGGCATAACCATTTGGGGATTTTGCCTTGTGCGGGTTTGATAAGTAACCAGCGTCAGGATAACAAACAAGGCAAGCATCATTCCGAGGATCAGGGGGGTTGGATCCGCTGAGATGCGTTAGGATTTGCCCATGTAGTACCTTTAGGGTATGTCTTTAATACCAATTCAGTGGATGCGTGTAGGTGCGTTGCTGCATCTTTACTAATGGATCAACAGCGAATAAGATGTCTTGTCTAAATACAATGAGCTAAGTACAAAGAAGCGCAAAGTTGAACTTTAGATATGGAATTTCGGATTCCATAACCTCTTCAAGGTCTCATGTGTATATAACGTATGGACAATCAAAGGTATACTCAAAAGTAACACATTTGGGGTGTAGTTTGACTATAGACCAATATACCATCAGAACAATGCTTGAACTTCAAGTCAAAGCATAGACGAGTTTTCCCAAGATCCTTCATCTCAAATTCCATCTTCAGGTGCGAGGCAGTTTTCTCAAGCTATTCCGGAGTCTTAGTGAGATTTGTGTCAACAACATAAACTGTAACTCTAGCAATTTGGAATAAGACTTCATAGTTTAACAGCAAGGGCATAATTCATCCCTGACTGATCAAATAATCACGTGGACGGGTATACCACATCTATCGGATTTTTCAATCCATAAGTGAACACCTCAAAACGAGTTACGAGGGTGTTTCGTGGTTTTGGAACTATTTGAACCAGTCCATGTAATTCTTTGGGAACTTACATGTAAATCTCCGTATCTATATCCCTATGGAGAAAACACTAACCACATTTCATCATGCTGCTATCAATCACAGGACGTTTTGAGATAAATCTTGCACCATAAGGCGTGCATCATATCACACCATTTCATTCATCTCGTAACGCTTCCTTTCCTACTTGTAACACAACAGGTTTACCTTGGGCAGTGTAGGAACAGCAGGTCTAATACACACTTTGGTAAGGAATTTGACCTGGATTGTAACTTTAGTTGTCCAATTAGTTTTACGTTGTCACTTAATCAACATAACACTATTCAATATAGTCGCTTTTCATTTATGTCGGTAGCTACCATATAAGTGAAAACATCATCGATGATAATCTCATTTCAATTCCATTTTGCTTATCCAAACTAGTATACTGGACTAAGAACTTTAAGTATCGGGAGAAATCCAGATTAATCTTATGAGATGGAAATGATTTAAGACAGCGATCTAATTTAGATTCATTGTTGTGCCATGTCTCCCTCTTCCAGGGAAGTGAATCCTACGAACCAAATGATCTGTCATGGTCCAGGCTAAGACATATTGATTCGCTATCCACCGGTGTACCAGACCATCCAACAGGGGTGTCCAAATCGTCCAACAGGGGTGGCACATCCTCTAGGGATGTTAACTCGATGTCTGTTAAGTACGTCTATCCTTGCAGGCATGTTTGCAGCTGGTATATGATCTCGTCACTTTAGCTAGATCAGAGGAATGCATTTGGGGCAACATTCTGAAAGCTAGACTTGCTTATTATACTTGTCCGGTACGGGGATCGAGATGAGACATAGTGGGCAATGTCCACGCAAATTCGCGTTGTTCTCTAGGAACGTTGACGTTTTTATCTCCTCCTAACGGCGAGAAGACTGTCTCATTAAAGTGACAACCCGCAAATGAGCAGTAAAGAGATTGCGTGCAAGGGCTCTAAGAGAGTTAGTGTGAAGGAGAATCATGATCGACAAAAGATACACATCCTTCTTTGAAGATCCATGGTGGTACGTTGCGGCGGAGCAACTTGGCACATAGAATGCACACTCAAATGTGTAAATACAAAAATCGTCAGGGTCATACCCAGTAACCAACTATAGCATCATATAGGTTCGGTAACAATGGGCCTTAAGGCGGACCAACATAGCTGCGTACAAGAATGCATAGCCTTAGGCAAAAATTGAAAACTTGATACGTTTACCA